TGCTTGGGTTCAGAACCCACTGCTTCCTTCTCACCTTCTCGAAGTACCAGGTGCCATTCTCCTCCTGAAAACGAAAGACCCCGGGAGTCTGAGGCTGATCTGTCCCTGAAACCAGCTCCATTGGCTGCCACATCTGGTAGGCCATCCCAAATCCCCCATCCATAATATAGGATTTGCCATCAAGATCCACTCGTATCAGCAGATGATTGATTTCTTCTGGGTAGGCATCACGCTCTGGGACATAAACTTTTGCTCCCAGAAGGGTGACGTTGTAGCCAAGAGTTTTCAGGACCCATGACAGTATGTTGTTGTTTTCCATGCACCATCCCCCACGTTTCTTCTTCACTATCTTGTTGTAGGTGGCTTCCAGGTCCAGCTCAATTCTTTCTCCACAGTGGATGCTGAGGTTTTCATAAGGGACAGCTCGGATGTGGTGCTGGAATATATCTGTCATGGTAGCCAGGTCTGGCTTGTTGTGGGAGCCCTGGTAAGAAATTCTGGCAAAATACTCCTTGATGTCCATGCTGCCTCTGAGAGAAGGGTGGGAAAAAATAATAGGCTGTGTCAGAAGTGGTGGAAGGCTCTTGCCCATCCCTTTTAATGGGGTGCTCAGAAGAAGAGCAGGATTTGACTAATATCTGTCTCAAAGGCAGCTGAGTAATAGTGCTGAGAGAAGCCAATGGGACACTGCTGATGAGCAAAATGTTATTTTTATTTGCCTCTTTTACAGCTGTGACGAGGGGCTCCAGCTGTGCTAAGCACATTTCAGCAGAGTTCCTGCCCGATATTTCCTTGCTAGAAATTATAGGAACTGAGACTCTCCAGATCTGAACTGCTTTGCTCGTGGTTTCAGCAAAGCAGAAGCAGAAAACAAACCCTCCCATCTTGCAGTGGGATCCAGAGTCTCTTCTGCAACCAAATCTGAAGCAAATCTGTCCTGCCTTGGTGTTTCATCCATTATTTAAGCAGCCAGGCATGAGCTGGTCTCACCTGCTCCTACTCTC